GGAATCGAGTCATCAAAGTTTGTACATGCATTTCTGGTCAAGGAATCTCTAACCACATATAAAGCTGCTCTTGAGCTCACTGGTGTAGCATTATTTTAACTAAGAAACAGAAATAACATTGCTGCCACCAAAGCAAACAAAAATGCACAAAAAGAATATTGCAGGGAACAAAGAATACTGCATGTGTAGATAGAGAGCTACACTAATAAGGATTTCCTAGAGGTTCCCCAACCCAGAGAATTTCATAAAGGTACCAAATACTAAAGTTTATCTCCTGGATATTTTAACTTGGTAGGTCAGCACTACCCAAAAATGTTTTGTTTTAAACAAAAAAGGTGAATCTGATTGAAAAAATTCACAGATCTGCATTTGGGAACCTCCAATGGTTTCACTTCAAAGGCACAAATAAGTATTAGAAGACATCCACAATAATGAGTTTATCTAGTACTATGTATTTCCAAATAGAGAAGAGCAAGATAAGAATGATGAGAGCAATTTTATTAAACTGGGTTTAGCAGGAATAGACCAAAACATTTGCAATGCTCACATAGATGTGTCTAGTTAATAAATAACCTAAGTATGCAGAAGCAAAACGTGTTTTTGTTTTATTTTCAAAAATATCGATTGTATAGAAAGAATCATCAAATTAATACATGGTTTGATTCACTGATGCCTTGAATCATTCATTCAGCAAATATATATTGAGTACTTACCTTTGTTGTATGTGCTAAGGACAAAGCATGAACAAAACTAAATGGTGAAAACTGAGAAGCCCTCAGGATGCTTATACTCAATGGTTTACAAATCTTTTAGATGCAGACAAGGTACAAACAGATAAGGCAAGAAGAGACCCTTAATACGACTGGGGGTTCGGGCAATGTCTTTTTCCTGGGAGACTTACAGGGGCATACTATGGTCAAGGTACTAACAAACGGAGTGGGGGTCAGTACACTTAGGTATTATTGTAAGTATAATGGGTTCCCTTCTCACATTAACAGTAAGCCACTAGCACCTAACAAGGGGGAAAGGAGATGGGGAAGCTAAGGTAAGCTGGGAGAGAAGAAAGAGTAAAAAACAAAACAAAAAAACAACAACAACAAAAAAGCAAAACAGTCTGTTTCTACCCAGGGCTGAGTCAAGGACAAGGAACCTGAAACTAGAGATATCACCAAGTCAACAATCCAAGCCCACATACTGCTGTATTAAATTTCAGATTCAGTGTGCTATCATATTTACCTACTTTAACATTTTAGTAAGCACAAACAAGTCATTTACTTATGTTTTCTTCCTACATCTCTAAAAGGATAAACAAAATGATCAAAGTATCTCTAAGGGGCTAGGTGCGTAGTAACGTTAATCAAATTCTTTTTATTTAATGTAAACTTCAGTGACTTTGTTCTTTCTGTTGCTCTGTCATTAGTGTCTAGAAAAAGGGTTCAATAAATATTGGATGGATAGATGGATGGATGGATGGATGGATGGATGGATGGAAGGAAGGAAGGAAGTAACCAAATCTAGAGATACAGAAGCCAGAAGAAAGTAACCAAAATCTCTTCTGGCTGATCTCCCTCCCCAGATGGGTTCAGAATCTCAGGAACCAGTAGGAAGAATGCCCAGGGCTGACCCACAGATTCCAAAAACATGGAGAACTGGCATTTGTTATCTAGCTAGAAACTAGAAAAAGTCCACAAATGATTGTGTCTAAGACAAAGGCAGAAACAATGAACTGGGTCAATAACTTAGCAAGTCAGACTGGTTACTGAGTAAGAATATTTTAGGGGTGATGACCAAAAAAGTAAGCATTTCTGAACAGGGGAAAGAAATCTTTATGGGATCCCTGTGGCCTGTCTAGGCTGTTGGTAAAGCAAGGCAAGGTGCCAAGACATTATGGACAACACCTTTACTTCTGAAGAGACTTTACAAAGGTAAAAAACCTTTAGCATAGCACCTCAATTTCAAATGTGCTGTGCACGGCCCTCAAAGGCTGGGAAGTGAAGCATGATGGTCTTTATACACCCAGAGCCTTAGAAGAGGGTGTACCTGAGCCCTAAGACACCTGAGAGAGAGAAGGGAAGATCAGCAAAGGGAGAGGGGAGAGGCAAAGGTTCCACTGTCCCAGAGCTAAGTAAACACAGTGTTTCAAAAATGAGAGTGTGAGTAACTGTGTCATATGTTACTGACATCTGCGTAAATTGTGACCTTGACTCAGGCACTGCATGCCTGGGGTCAGGGCAAGCAAGAATGGCAGGAAAGAGAGGAGAGAGAGCAAGTGTAGATAACACTTTCAAGGAGTTCTGTGGGACAAGAAACAGCAGAAAGGTACACAGAGAAGAATGTGAGATTAAGAACAAGCTTTTGCTATAGTTACAGATTGTTTTAAAGAGGAGAGCCACACTGGTGGGAACGATCATGCGGCAAAGAAATGGGAAAAACTGGAAGGGGACCCAGTGCCTATTAGAGAGGATGGGCACAGACAGGTGAACAGTTTATCCACCTAAATGGGGGAAGGCAGAATTGATGGGGGTACATGTGTACTTAGGTTAGTACATGTGGAGGTGGAAATGTGCAGAAATGTCTCAGTGAAATAGGAAAATATTACTCATCATGAGCTGAGAGTGAGGAAGGGGAAGAAAGTGCTGTCAGTTTAAGAATGAGAAAGTGAGTAAGAATCGTGCAAACAAGTGGGAAATGAATGGGATGACGGAAAGGCAGTAGGATTTGCAGCCAGCCAGCACCCAAGGCTCCCGTAAGTGCAGGAGCTGTGCCTGAGTGCAAGGGTGAAGAGGAGATGAAGCAGAAGCCAGGAATCCAGTTTTTCTCAGTGCCTATCCTTCAGGGAGCAGAATCTACAGGAATGAGTGAAAATTAAGCAGTCAGACCTCAGCTACTTGCTCTTCTCCCTTGGATACACACGTTTGAGCTTTCAATGTATACATAATTTATCGTGTATACAGTTTAAAGCAGAGAAATGAATATAGAAGAACTTACTCCAGGCCAACTGCTATCTTCAGGGTGAAGGAAATATGAAACTTACCATTCCCTACATTGTTCCTTCTCATCACCTTTGTTTTTTATTTTACTCTGAGAATCTTTACTCTTCTTATAAAAAGGAAAAAACCTTAGATGAAAAATTTTATAAGCCCACTGTGTGAAACAAAGTCGAAGTGCCATAATACGTTGATGATCTGCAGACATAGGAAACTGTGGCACAAACATGCCATCTTCAGTAGAGAGATGACTTAGAAGTAACTCCTACGGACCCTCTGCCCTAGGACCATCACGGCAGGGCCTGTTTGATCTGGGGGACATAGGCTTCCCCACACTTCCTGACCTACCACCACCTACCCTACAGAAGACCTCCAACTCACCCCAGTCCTCCCACCTATTCTATTACTGGAGCTACGTACAACCATGGAAAGGTGTGAAAAAAACCTTTTCCATCATCAGGGCAGAAAGCACTCAGGGGTCGGGTAGAAGAGGTAGGGAGGGGAGCCTCTTGCTCACGGCAGAGCTACCTCGCAATTACTCCCAGATCCAGTGACATATAAAAGTGTTTCTAGTACTAGAAAGGACTGAGAAGATCACCAGACAGATTCTACTGGCAACTTTTAATAAATATAGTTAGGTTCAGAAACCCTGAAGGAAATGACCCTAAAAATAAAAAATTCAAAAATAGATGGAGTATCTACTCTTAAGGTTTAAGATGTGAACAATGCCATATTCTAAATTATTTCAAAAAGTTTATACTGGTTTGAAGATCAAATTTTTTCACCTTAGGGGTGCCTGGGTGGCTCAGTGGGTTAAGGCCTCTACCTTCTGCTCAGGTCATGATCCCAGAGTCCTGGGATCGAGCCCCGCAATGGGCTCTCCGCTCAGTGGTGAGCCTGCTTCCCCCACTCTCTCTCTGCCTGCCTCTCTGTCTACTCATGATCTCTGTCAAATAAATAAATAAAATCTTTAAAAAAAAATTTTTTTCACCCTAACTTCATAATAATTTAGATTTTAAAAAGACCTACCAGTAAAATTTATTCTACATCAAATATCACCAGTAAACATTTCTAAATCTTAGCATTGGAACAATAATATTCTCTTAAGCCCACATTTTAAACTTGGTATACCTTCAACAAAATTTTACAAATAGAGCACACAAAGATTTGTATTAAATTACAGTTAACTACAAAATGGAAGGCTGTCCTCAGAAGTGTTCTCAACCCATTTTTCCAGATGTTTGCACTTTCAAACAAAATCTTAAAAAGTAACATAAAGCTATATAAAAACAGAAGACAATTTAAATACCAGCAAAAATTAAGAAACAACTTAAACAATTACATTTCCAGATGTAATTTTTAGAGGCTAAACCCTGAAATGAAATAAAAAGAAACCCTAAGCGACGGAAGAGCCTGCACTAATTTACATCTGACCTTGTTCTGCTCGCCCACAAAAATATGAGTGGACAATATATACTCCAAATTTTAAAAATTAAATGTGAAATAAGTGGGTAAAGAAACAAGTGAGTATAATCTAGCCTACAATTAAATACTAAAAATCTTCTTCCCTTAGAGGTTACTGGTGTTAGATCCTTCCAGTGCAAAGAATGAACAGAATATTCCGTCACTGATGGAACTCAGGGAAAACCCAAATATTGTCATTCAGGTCAAAGCTATTCTCTAAATGAAAGTAATTTAGCATTAACACTGAAAAAACCTGGCCTGTAATAAAGGGTAACTTTAAGATGACCTAACCGAATTAGTGTTTTGGAGATTATCCAAGAAATTATAACATGTGAATGGAGCTAGTACAAATACTCACAGGTTTACAGGGTCCACTGAAGTTCTGTGTAAATATGTATGAGAATTTGATATCCCCAGATCTAGTGTGCCACGGTCAGCAGGTTTTCTGATCATGGCACTTTCAGTAGTTTCATGAAACACATCTGTTCACCAATTCATCTTTTTGTGATTATCAACAACGCGATTCCCAGCAGCAACATTCCTTCTCACCTGTCTTTGATGATCCAGATCTGCTTTATTACCAATTAAAATCATTGGAAACTCATCACGATCCTTCACTCTGAGAATCTGTCTTTGAAACTTATAGATTTCTTCGAAACTAAAACAGAAACAGACAAATCAATTTGCTCAAATATCAGAACGTGGCTAGTCTCACACCCCATTTAGTATCTCATTACTTTATCTTTTTCTCTAAAAACAAGAAGTCCAAATTCAATAAAATAGTGATCTAGGCATGAACAGAAGATCTGTATTTTAATACTGGTACAAACCTGCCTCGATCTGTGACTGAAAAGACCAACAGGAAACCCTCGCCAGTTCTCATATACTGTTCTCTCATAGCTCCGAATTCTTCTTGTCCTGCTGTATCCAGAACTAAAGAGAAAACAATACATGTAACCGTGTTCATGTTTTCATCTCATACATGGCTTCCCCACAAGGGCAGGCCCAATTAATGTGGGTCCTTCAGAGCACATCATACATAGTGTAATAAAGACATGGAATTCTCCTCATAGCGCTCTATTCCCGACACTAGAAAGAAACATATCTCACAGCAGACAGCTTCAGAGTCATCTTCATCAGTACGGGTTGATTTTGTCGCTAGAATACATTAGCATACCAATTACAAGGTTAAAAATACCGAATACATCTAGGCAGATGGAGTCAGATCACCTCTGAAGTCACTTGAATGTTTTATCTCCTCCACGGAAAGAACTGAAAAAGATACCTGTAAATTCACGAAAGAAATCTTGGTCTACTCCCCACAAACACCACACTTAAAGTGCAGGTGCTAATGTACCTCTTGATCTCTGGGAATGAAAGAATCATGTCAATTAAAAGAACAGGACTATCTTTTGTGCAGACTTGGGAGTGCGTGACCAAGCACAAAACCCTATTTGCTGCCGCCTCTGTGCTAAAAATTCTAAGCAAGTTAACAAATATTCAATCTTTTCTATATTAACTTCACCCATTTTAACATTTGCAGGAAAGCAGGAAGAGCTGAAACTTCATGTTTTTTTCCCGAATGTTCCTCAAAATACAACTTCAACAAGCTACAATGACAAGATTAATTTCACCAGCACAAGGTCAACATAATTACTGTTTTATATTACATTTACTGAGAAATATTTAAATATCCTAAAATGCTGATGCATCAATAAAAACTAATGAAGGAGGTGGGCTTGTGTTCAACACCACCTATGATATTTCCTTTGTAGTGTGCAACTAGCAAAATGCCCAAGCTTACTTTTTAAAAACAGGCTATCGAACTATCAAATAAAGGCAGATCACTTACTATCTAGCCGGGCTGCTCTGTCGTCTATCACACACTGCTTTGTGTAGGAATCTTCAATGGTTGGGTCATAATCCGTTACAAAATAGGACTGTAAGAAAAATAATCTTTGTTTTAAATTTATGTTTACTTGCCTATCCAAGTACCAGTGTAACTTTATCAAATCCCACTTATCCAGAGTTAACAATGATATCTGCATTGTATTAAGGTTTATCCCACTATGTTGGCTTCCTACCCAATGAAATCTATTCAGAGCAGCTTCCAAGTAGAGAAAAGGTACTAAATATCTCTGAATTTTCCTATCTGATATATGCAAGAAGACTGCCAAAGACCTACTACAGTTTTTTCATAATTATATACAATAATTTTTTCATAATTATATATACCCAAGATAATATATATCTAGATCTCATGTTCTTCCAAAACTAGAAAAATAGTCAGTTATAACCCAGGTCCATTTGCAACCCAGTTGTAAGCATCAGTCCTGAGAACAAAGCAGTCTGAAATAAAGGGAGACAAGAAATAGGGATCTGGAAGATTCCATGCCTCATGTTCATTTCTCCCCTTTTTCCTCACATCTTGTCTTTTTCCCATTCAGCTGCCTTGGGTATTAAAGAAAATGGGATTTCAGAAATTTTTTTTGGTAGGGATCTCAAACTTATTCTTTCACTGATATTTTTGTGGGTTTTTTCATCTCAACTTCTATTTCTGTCTTCTTTGGTTAGCAAAGCCTCCGAACTGTTATCTTCTGCAATCATCATCAGAGGAAAGGACAGTTAAGGCAGCAGAGTAAGAAGGGAAGAATCTCAGTGAGCCAGTTAAAAATGTTTGTGTATTATACTTCACAATTTCTTTAAAGGTTTTAAAAAGAAAACAATGACAAAAATAAGAATCTGAGAGAACTTATTCCCGCTTCTGACAGGACACTAACTGGGACACTGACATCATCCTTCTTTTGTCCTGAGCATCTCCTATGCTCTCCCCTCTTGACTGACTTCCTCAAAGCCTACTTTCCCACTGGCTCATTACCAAATGCAAGGGAATGACTTAGAAGAAGGCAGCTTGATGCTGAGAACCAGAGCCAAAAGGATTCAACCATTTTTCAGGCAAGGCTTCCTAGCAACTGGACCTGCTGGCTCCAGGGACACAGCATTCTTAAGTGACAACCCTCCCTCCTCCCCTAGCATGTATCAACAAACACCATAATGCTACTCAGAAGTAGGCACTCCGAACAGACAGTAAAGAAACCCCTGATGGGGAACTGGGGAGAGGATACTGATCTCCTTGCTACTATGACTTGATAAATTTTTGTTTGAAGGACACTTTCCACATTTTATTTATATTTTAGGATTAACTTTAATCACAGAATTCAGTATCCATAATCCTATTTCCTTTTGGATGGTTTCACTGAAATGCGTGATTTTTCAAACAAAGGCTGTAAAAGAATCATTTACCAACAGGAGCAGCTTTGAGTAGAAAACCATCTCCATCACCAACCCATCCTTAAAAATTAAGAGATACCAAAGCAATACTAAACTTATTTTTTGGCACCCACATCTCTTCAAAAAGTGATAAAACTCGCAATAATATCTTTGTACACAGTATTCTAAACAACTTAAAACTGTAGTCTTTCCCCCAAGCAAGTCGGATAACCATACTGTTTATATCTTTTTAAGATTAGTTTCCTGAAACGTGTTTCTCGGCAGAAATCGGATACTTCCTGGCATGCTTTCATCTTGTAAAACCTGAAATTCATTGACTACTCCCAGTTTATACCTAAATGTGCTAAAATGTCCTGCACTGTCCCTCTCACTTTATCTGAAAAAAAATGAATATTAAATATATTGTAGTAGGGGTGCCTGGGTGGCTCAGCGGGTTAAAGCCTCTGCCTTCGGCTCAGGTCATGATCCCAGGGTCCTGGGATCGAGCCCCACATCGGGCTCTCTGCTCACCGGGGAGCCTGCTTCCTCCTCTCTCTCTGCCTGCCTCTCTGCCTACTTGTGATCTCTGTCTGTCAAATAAATAAATTAAAAAAAAAATATATATATATATATATATATATAGTAGTATGCATGATAACAAATTCGTTCGATGTGACTTTTATTTTGTACTGTGAGACAGAATTAAGACATTAACATATATAAGACGATAATTGAGTTTAAGCAACTTTGAGGGCCATTAAAAGAAATTATTTTTCCTTTTAGAGGCTATGGAAGTTTCACATTTTCTTTGCCCCTCTTAGCTCTTGAAACGTGATCTTTTTTCTTTTTTTTTTAAGATTTTATTTATTTATTTGACAGAGAGAGATCACAAGCAGGCAGAGAGGCAGGCAGAAAGAAGAGAGGAGGAAGCGGGCTCCCTGCTGCGCAGAGAGCCCAATGCAGGACTCGATCCCAGGACCCTGAGATCATGACCTGAGCTGAAGGCAAAGGCTTTAACCCACTGAGCCACCCAGGTGCCCCTCCCCTCTTTTTTTAAAGAGAGGGAGAGAGATGGGGAAGTAGAGAATCCCAAGCAGGCTCCACATCCAGCACAGAGCCATACGAAGACACGGGGGCTCGAGCTCACAACCCTAAGGTCATGATCTGAGCTGAAATCGAGTTGGCCTCTTATTTTTTTTTTTAAGATTTTATTTATTTATTTGACAGTGAGAGAGAGAGAGCACAAGTAGGGGGAGCAGGCAGAGAGAGAAACAGACTCCCCACTAGTAGGGAGCCTGATGTGGGACTCAATCTCAGGACCACAGGATCATGACCTGAGCCAAAGGCAGACACTTAACAAGTGAACCACCCAGGCACCCCAACATAATCTTTTTTTTTTTAAGATTTTATTTATTTATTTGACAGAGAGAGAGATCACAAGTAGGCAGAGAGGCAGGCAGAGAGAGAGGAGGAAACAGGCTCCCCGCTGAGCAGAGAGTCTGACGTGGGGCTCGATCCCAGGACCCTGAGATCATGACCTGAGCTGAAAGCAGAGGCTTAACCCACTGAGCCACCCAGGTGCCCTCACACCCCAACATAATCTTAATGTTGTGAGAATTTTGCCATTTTGCTAACTAACACGGGCACACACTTATTCCACCAACATTTTTAAGACAAACTAATTGCTGGAATTTCTGGATATTTAGGTCCATATTTCATCTTCATTGTGTCCTGCTTTCAAAATATGTCTGTACGGACCATCATTTTGTTGCTATATATTGATTTTAGGAAGCCAGAAAGTATCTTCTTCCCTCATAAAAATCCATCCAAATAACAATGCTCCAGAGCCTGACTGACACATAATCCAAGACCCCCTTCTCTCATAATGCCTGTAAGCCACAGATCAGAATGTGCCTAAAAAGAGCATTCTTCATTGCAGTTAGCAAATATAATCATCAGCTCCCGCCGCAAAGACATAACGTTTCTGTTACTTAAACCTAGGTACCAGATATTTAAGGCAGCAAATTACCAACAAGAAATCAGTCTCTAGTGATGGTCAGTCCTAGATTTGATACGAACTCTGCTACTTTCTAGCTGATGAACCTGAGACAAGTTACTTTACCTTTCTAATCTTTAACATCTGCAAAACAGGACAGTAACAAACCCTCCTGGGCCAGATAATTTCAAGTAGTGTCTATAAAGTGCCAAGACATGCTGATGATTGAAAAACGTTAACCACACTGTATTATTTTTGTCACACAATTAGATGGTATGAGTTGGTGTTTTCATTCAAGTATAAAGACTTCTTAATCCTAGGAACAGCTGTAATAGTTCCAATCCTGGTTATACTACAGACCAACCATGGCACTTGGCATCCAAAATGTGAATCAAGATAAAATCTCCTTATCTGGGGTTTTAGAGATTTTTCTTGGAATCTGAGCAGTAATTACACAGATAATCACGTAAGTAAAAATTCATCAAGCTGTACACAAGATGTGTACATTTTTTGTAATATATACAAATTAGACCTCTATAAGATACATAAATTTAATGGTTCCCTGCTGTTTACAGGATTCAGTGCTTTCTTTACACAGCATGCAAAGCCTCTAGTTTGATCCATACTGTTCACCGTAAGAAGCCTTATTTTTCACCACTTGAAATCCTCAGCCAATTGCTCTTGCTCTCCTGGTTTCGTTAGTTTTGTTGACAAGTATTTACAGAGCATCATGGAGACAAGGCCCAACATTCACAGAGCCCCACTGCTTGTTACACTACACTACACTACACTACACTACACTACATGCTGGGATTAGGGGTTTGGGGAGCAGGGAGTGGAAATACACTGGCCAAGAAACTGCAACAGCAAGAAATGCCTATATCATGCTAGTTCAGAAGGCAACAAAATTTAGGTGGCTTAAAGACTGCAGTCATGTACAGGAACTATGTGCACATTCACTTATAAACACAGTCCAGCAATATGCCAGAAAACAGTCTCCGTCCTGACACTGAAGAAGTTGCCAACCATAGTCCAGAAAGGATGTTCTATAGCAGAAAGCAAGAAAAAAAAAAAAAATAGTAGGCACAGTATCGCATAACAGAAGGCAGTAGAGAACACACTGAAAGGGGAAGAAGAGCAAAGAGAAAGTACTTTGTTTTCTTGATATCACAGGAAAGGATGCATGGAGGAGGACCCTGGCCAGAAACAAAGGGAATGCCTGCTTTCAAAGGGCAGGATGCCTTCCAGGTAGTACAAAGGGCAAATGGACATAAGTCTCCTTAAGGTTGTTAAGATTTATGGAGAAAAGTTTAGGATTAGGGAAGCTACCTCCATTCAGACAGGAGTCAATTTCCCCTTGATAAAATCTGGTCTGGGTAAGGTTGTCAAAAGCCCTTAATAATGTCAAGAGCATTATGCTGTGATGGCAGGAATAGTATTCCTGATTATACGCCACTAGATTGCACAAGAGGAATTCTGCTCGGCTTAAGAGAACTGCCAGCTCACTATCTTCCCATTCAAAGAAGCTGCCTTAAGGAAGAAAAGAAGGGGGAAGGACAGGAAAGAGAATGAGCTGAGGCCACTTCTGCATTTAGGGGGCAGGAGTGAAAGCCCACTTTCTCCTGACCCCCTGCTACCGATGAAAGTGTAGTTCCCAAGCACTGCCACGGAGCG